AAAGCCTGGTGGATGTCAGCTGATTTTAATCTTGTATGGTTTACTTATTTTTGTATTAGACCTCTCATATCCCCTAGGGTTTTATGCACATATGCAGTGCTGTAACAACGCTAGAGATTGCAGGATCAGAGCCCTGGGACTTTGTGATCAACAGCAGCTAGGACAGCCCCACATCACACTCAGACTTCCCTGTTCCCTCTGAGCTCAGCTGTGATCTTCACAGTCTGGATTTGCTGGAAAAGAGTACCGTATTTTTCCCTGTATAAGACGCCCCTGTGTATAAAACGATCCTACTTTTCTAATCCAAAATTGAGAAATCTAAGTGGGGCTTAGCAAGTGTAGGGGGAAAGGGATCAAAGCCCTGCAGGATCGCTTTGATCCCTGCTTTCCCTCCACTCGTTTTTGCTCTCTCCTCAGCTTACTTCCGTGTATAACACGACCCTCAATTTTTAGTCTAAAGATTTTAGACAAAAATATAGTCTTATAAAGGAAAAAATACGGTATATGTTTCTCAAGCTATCTCTGCCGCTCAAAGTACCGTGTAAACTGTTGGAAGGTTGTCTGGTGGCGAATGAGCAAGCAAGATCCATGAGCCATTTACAAATAACGTGCTTGTCATTTGTTGATATGGGCTGATCCATCTGCCTGTGATTTTTTGGACATTCCTTGCCGACGTGAGGTCACAAGGGGGGCTGTTAGGATGAACACCAGCCCAAATTTACCTTAACCCCACTGTATTCACATAGAGGGATATTTTCAGAATTGAGCCATTCTGCTCACCCCTCTCCTAGAGCAGTGGTTCCCAGCCTTGGATTCCCCCTGAGGTTCTTGGACTACAACTCCCAGAAATCCTGGCCAGCACAGCTAGTGGTGAAGGCTTTTGGGTATTGTAGTCCAAACGCATCTGGGGTTTCAAGGATGGGAAACACAGTCCTAGAGGATTGGGAAGGAGGAGGATAACACTTGCCAGATGAAGCTCAAAAGGGTGTAGAAGAGAACGGGAGCCAAGGCCGTCCATGGTCAGCAGAGTTTAGAGAAGGTCTTCCTGAACCCTGGAATCTGATCCTGGCCACACTACCTGTAAGATACTGGGACTTGCAGTCCTGAAGAGCACCGTCTCCAAACACTTTGTGAGATGAAAGATCAAAGAAACTACAACTCCCAGAAGCCTTCACCACCACCTCTGCTGGCCAGGATTTCTGGGAGTTGAAGTCCAAGGCTGGGGACCACTGGAGGCCCAAGGTTGGGGACCACTGCTGAAGACCACCGTTTCCAAACACTTTGTGAGGCCAAAGATCAAAGAGCAGCGCTGGACCAGGCAGGTCAGAGGTCATGTCTTGAAAGAAAGGATGGAAGAATAAGCTTGCTACATCTCAGAACCAGGCTGTCTGCTGGTTCATCCTCCCACCTCATCGCCAGATTGCTCAACAGTGCAGGGAGGGGCACAAGGCTTGGCCAGGCTGCGTCCGCCATTGGCGTAGCGGGAACGACGATGGGCCAAGCATGCTGTCCCCTAACAGGAGAAGTAGGGTGCAAGGATTTAAGGGCCAGATTGCTCAACAGTGCAGGGAGGGGCGCAAGGCTTGGCCGGGCTGCGTCCACCATTGGCGTAGCGGGAATGACGATGGGCCAAGCACGCTGTCCCCTAACAGGAGAAGGATTTAAGGGCCAGAGAACAACACATGAAAAGCACAGCTTGAAGCATCTCTGGCCCAGCAGATGCTGCTGGACTACAATGACTATCAATGCAAGCCAGCATAGCTCATGCTAGGGGATGCTGGGATTTGCAATCCAATGGCATCTGTAGGTTTCTATCTTCCCCAGTTCTGATCTAAGGAAAAATAGGGCCAGAATCCTCTTCTGAAGCTCTCTTTGTTTTTAGGGCTTATTTTTAATGTCATTTTTACATACATAAGTGGGTCGTTGCACTTGCGAGAGACAAGCAAAAGGTGTATTGACATAAAAGTGCTAGCTTTCACTTCTTATTAACAATTAACCTTGATTAACAGACAAAGCAAAAAATGTAATGTCATTTTTACATACATAAGTGGGTCCTTGCACTTGCGAGAGACGAGCAAAAGGTGTGTCGACATAAAAGTGCTAGCTTTCACTTATTAACAATTAACTTTGATTAACAGACAAAGCAAAAAGCAAGGGGAAAATGGGGGGAAAGCTGAACCAAGTAGGGAAGGAAGGTGCCTCAAAGCAGCCTGGAAAAGTCTTCCAATGTCATTTTTACATACATAAGTGGGTCCTTGCACTTGCGAGAGACGAGCAAAAGGTGTGTCGACATAAAAGTGCTAGCTTTCACTTATTAACAATTAACTTTGATTAACAGACAAAGCAAAAAGCAAGGGGAAAATGGGGGGAAAGCTGAACCAAGTAGGGAAGGAAGGTGCCTCAAAGCAGCCTGGAAAAGTCTTCCAAATTTCATCAAACAGCAATACTTTCTTACTCTTAATAAACAGCATTATCTCCAGACTACTCCACGATGACATCAATCAGAGATCTAATACTGAAATGTCAGTTTTCATGGCTTCAAGATTGCTATTTTCTTTCAGGAGTTTATTACCACTCAGAAATGTACCATTGAATCAATCACATTTGAATATCTTCTTGATCCTGAAAAGAAAAAAGGATTCTCTGTCTCTTTCTTTTATGTTTCGGCGTAGAGGATGGGCTCCTTGTTTCTCAGGGTGGGTGTATCCATGGAGAAACCGTTG